ATTATTATGAGGGAGAAGTATATTAAGAGGGACATAATTATGAGGGAGAAGGCAATAAGAGGGACATAATTATGACGGAGAAGTATATTAAGAGGGACATAATTGTGAGGGAGAAGTATATTAAGAGGGACATAATTGTGAGGGAGAAGTATATTAAGAGGGACATAGTTATGAGGGAGAAGGATATTAAGAGCGATATTATGAGGGAGAAGGATATTAAGAGGGACATAATTATGAGGGAGAAGGATATTAAGAGGGACATAATTGTGAGGGAGAAGTATATTAAGAGCGATATTATTATGAGGGAGAAGGATATTAAGAGGGACATAATTATGAGGGAGAAGGATATTAAGAGGGACATAATTATGAGGGAGAAGGATATTAAGAGGGACATTATTATGAGGGAGAAGGATATTAAGAGCCATATTATTATGAGGGAGAAGGATATTAAGAGGGACATTATTATGAGGGGGAAGTATATTAGGAGGGACATTATTATGAGGGAGAAGTATATTAAGAGGGACATTATTATGACGGAGAAGTATATTAAGAGGGACATTATTATGAGGGAGAAGTATATTAAGAGGGACATAATTATGAGGGAGAAGGCTATTAAGAGGGACCATAATTATGAGGGAGAAGTATATTAAGAGGGACATAATTGTGAGGGAGAAGTATATTAAGAGGGACATAATTGTGAGGGAGAAGTATATTAAGAGGGACATTATTATGAGGGAGAAGTATATTAGGGGGGACATAATTGTGAGGGAGAAGGATATTAAGAGGGACATAATTGTGAGGGAGAAGTATATTAAGAGGGACATAATTATGAGGGAGAAGGATATTAAGAGGGACATTATTATGAGGGAGAAGGATATTAAGAGCGATATTATATGAGGGAGAAGGATATTAAGAGGGACATAATTGTGAGGGAGAAGTATATTAAGAGGGACATTATTATGAGGGAGAAGTATATTAGGGGGGACATAATTGTGAGGGAGAAGGATATTAAGAGGGACATAATTATGAGGGAGAAGGGTATTAAGAGGGACATAATTATGAGGGAGAAGGATATTAAGAGGGACATTATTATGAGGGAGAAAGGATATTAAGAGCGATATTATTATGAGGGAGAAGGATATTAAGAGGGACATAATTGTGAGGGAGAAGTATATTAAGAGGGACATAATTATGAGGGAGAAGGATATTAAGAGGGACATAATTATGAGGGAGAAGTATATTAAGAGGGACATAATTGTGAGGGAGAAGTATATTAAGAGGGACATAATTGTGAGGGAGAAGTATATTAAGAGGGACATTATTATGAGGGAGAAGTATTATAGGGGGACATTATTGTGAGGGAGAAGGATATTAAGAGGGACATTATTATGAGGGAGAAAGTATATTAAGAGGACATTATTATGAGGAAGAAGTATATTGGAGGGACATAATTATGAGGGAGAAGTATATTAAGAGGGACATTATTATGAGAGAGAAGTATATTAAGAGGGACATGAGGGAGAAGTAATTAAAGAGGGACATTTATTATGAGGGAGAAGTATATTAAGAGGGACATTACTTATGACGAGAGAAGTATATTAAGAGGGACATTATTATGAGGGAGAAGTATATTAAGAGGGCATAATTATGAGGGAGAAGGCTATTAAGAGAGGACATAATTATGAGGGAGAAGTATATTAAGAGGACATAATTCTGAGGAGAAGTATATTAAGAGGGACATAATTGTGAGGGAGAAGTATATTAAGAGGACATAATTATGAGGGAGAAGTATATTAAGAGGACAATTGTGAGGGAGAAGTATATTAAGAGGGACTTATTGTGAGGGAGAAGTATATTAAGAGGGACATTATTATGAGGGAGAAGGATATTAAGAGGACATAATTGTGAGGGAGAAGGATATTAAGAGGGACATTATTATGAGGGAGAAGGATATTAAGAGGGACATTATTATGAGGGAGAAGTATATTAAGAGGGGGATTATTATGAGGGAGAAGTATATTAGGAGGGACATTATTATGAAGGAGAAGTATATTAAGAGGGACATTATTATGAGGGAGAAGGATATTAAGAGGGACATAATTGTGAGGGAGAAGTATATTAAGAGGGACATAATTGTGAGGGAGAAGGATATTAAGAGGGATATTATTGTGAGGGAGAAGGATATTAAGAGGGACATTATGAGGGAGAAGGACATTAGGAGGGACATTATTATGAGGGAGAAGGATATTAAGAGGGACATTAATATGACGGAGAAGGACATTAGGAGGGACATTATTATGAGGGAGAAGGATATTAAGAGGGACATTAATATGACGGAGAAGTATATTAAGAGGGACATTATTATGAGGGAGAAGTATATTTAGAGGGACATTATTATGAGGAAGAAGGATATTAGGAGGGACATAATTATGAGGGAGATGTATATTAAGAGGGACATGAGGGAGAAGTATATTAAGAGGGACATTATTATGAGGAAGAAGTATATTAAGAGGGACATTATTATGAGGGGGAAGTATATTAGGAGGGACATTATTATGACAGAGAAGTATATTAAGAGGGACATTATTATGAGGGGGAAGTATATTAAGAGGGACATAATTATGAGGGAGAAGTATATTAAGAGGGACATAATTGTGAGGGAGAAGTATATTAGGGGGGACATTATTATGAGGGAGAAGTATATTAAGAGGGACATTATTATGAGGAAGAAGTATATTGGGGGGGACATAATTATGAGGGAGAAGTATATTAAGAGGGACATTATTATGAGAGAGAAGTATATTAAGAGGGACATGAGGGAGAAGTATATTAAGAGGGACATTATTATGAGGGAGAAGTATATTAGGGGGGACATTATTGTGAGGGAGAAGTATATTAGGGGGGACATAATTGTGAGGGAGAAGGATATTAAGAGGGACATTATTATGAGGAAGAAGTGTATTAAGAGGGACATTATTATGAGGGAGAAGTATATTAAGAGGGACATAATTATGAGGGAGAAGGCTATTAAGAGGGACATAATTATGAGGGGGAAGTATATTAAGAGGGACATAATTGTGAGGGAGAAGTATATTAAGAGGGACATAATTGTGAGGGAGAAGTATATTAAGAGGGACATTATTATGAGGGAGAAGTATATTAGGGGGGACATAATTGTGAGGGAGAAGGATATTAAGAGGGACATAATTATGAGGGAGAAGGATATTAAGAGGGACATAATTGTGAGGGAGAAGTATATTAAGAGGGACATAATTGTGAGGGAGAAGTATATTAAGAGGGACATTATTATGAGGGAGAAGTATATTAAGAGGGACATAATTGTGAGGGAGAAGTATATTAAGAGGGACATAATTGTGAAGGATATTAGGAGGGACATAATTATGAGGGAGAAGTATATTAAGAGGGACATGAGGGAGAAGTATATTAAGAGGGACATTATTATGAGGAAGAAGTATATTAGGAGGGACATTATTATGAGGGAGAATTATACTATGAGGGACATTATTATGACGGAGAAGTATATTAAGAGGGACATTATTATGAGGGGGAAGTATATTAAGAGGGACATTATTATGAGGGAGAAGTACATTAGGAGGGACATAATTATGAGGGAGAAGTATATTAGGGGGGACATAATTGTGAGGGAGAAGTATATTAAGAGGGAGAAGGATATTAAGAGGGACATAATTGTGAGGGAGAAGTATATTAAGAGGGACATTATTATGAGGGAGAAGGACATTAGGAGGGACATTATTATGAGGGAGAAGTATATTAAGAGTGACATGAGGGAGAAGTATATTAAGAGGGACATTATTATGAGGGGGAAGTATATTAAGAGGGACATTATTATGAGGAAGAAGGATATTAAGAGGGAAACACCAGGAAGCTTCCCTTCTCTCTCTATTCATAAATCTCTGTATGTCGGCCATTTTCCCTCCCTAATTCTTTATTTGACGTAAAGTCCAGTTTCCGAGGCGTCTTCCAGGGCAGTTCCACCCAGAGGGCGTTGCAACCTTCCCATCAGATCCAGAGCAGGAAGTCCCATGGCCACATCCTGTCTGTGCCAAAGGGACGGTGGCTGGAGCTAGACATGGGCCCTGCTGCTCACCAAGCCACCCAAGCAGATATGGCTGGCTTGGGGTGAAGCTCTGGACTATGAAGTGGGGTGGGGAGGGACCCCCACTGTTGCCTTGGCTCCAGATTACACTCACTTCTCATTCACAGTTATGACCTCCCTCCCCTCCTCCCCCCCCCGACAGCTTGGAGTCTGAGCTGTGGTGCAATCCAGCCCTGGTTCCAGATTACACTAGATACTAATTACACTTGATTCAAATGACTTGATACAAATGACTCACTTGTCACTCACAGTTATGACTTCTCCCTACCCCCCCCCCCAGGCAGCTTGGAGTCTGAGCTGTGGTGCAATCCAGCCCTGGTTCCTAGCAAGACTCAGCCACGCTTCTTCAGGAAACATTCTTCTTCTCTTCATCTTATAAGAGAAGAATGTGTTTGATTCGTAGGATTTGCTGCAGCTTGCATTAGGACACACAGAACTTGGCAGAGGACCAAGGGGCTCCTTCTGATCTCTTGGAGACTTCCTGGGAGCCCAGATGGATGAGCAAGACTCAGCTGGCCCTGAAGCAGGAAGAGGCCATGCCATGGAAACGGGGAGCAGTGGGGGATTCGGGGAAAGCTCAGTGCAGAAGATCCTGGGTGAGGAGGACACCCCTTGCTCAGAGGTGCAGAGCCAGCAGCTCAGGCAGTTCTGCTACCAGGAGGCCAAAGGACCCCGAGAGGCTTGCAGCCAACTCTACCACCTTTGCCATCGATGGCTGAAGCCAGAAAGGCACACGAAAGCTGAGATGCTGGACCTGGTGATCTTGGAGCAGTTCCTGGCTGTCCTTCCTCTGGAGATGGAGAACTGGGTGAGGGAATGCGGAGCGGAGACCAGTTCCCAGGCGGTGGCCCTGGCCGAAGGTTTCCTCCTGAGTCAGGCAGAGGAGAGGAAGCAGGCAGAGCAGCAGGTGAGAGAGACTTTCCTCTGGATACTCCCAAGGGGCTCCAAAGAGGAGGGCGAGTATTCCCAAATCATTTCCTAATGGCCCATCCTTTTTTGGAAAGCATATTATTATTATTATTATTTATGACACCCATGTGGCTGGTGCCTTCCAGCACATGTAAAAGCATGAGAAGACATCAGATGTCTTCTAAAAGTTATGCATTTTCTTATCTCCTTCTCAACTGATGGGAGGGCATTCCCCAGGGTGGGTGCCACTGTGGAGAAGGTCTTCTGCCTGGTTCCCTGTAACTTCACTTATCACAGTGAGGGAATCAGCAGAAGACCCTCGGAACTGGACCTCAGTTCATGGAGACGCTCCTTTGGGTATACTGGGCCTTTGAGGCCAACACTTTGAATTGTGCTGGGAAACGTTCTGGGAGCCAGTGAAGATCCTTGAGGACCAATGTTTCATGGTCCTGGCAGCCAACCCCAGACACCAGTCTAGCAGAAGCAGGAAGCAGCTTTCACCTCTGTCCCCCGAAAGCACTTGCCTCCGCCATTCCTTCTCTAACCCTTCTCCCCATTCTCTGTTTTGAATCCTTGTTGCTCTTTCAGAGGAAGGATCTTTTGGCAGAAGTGGGTCTTGATTCTTCTGAGGCAGAGAAGACTCCGCTGGACGCCAGAGTGAGGCCTCTGGGTAAGGAGGAAGGAGGGTTTTCTCCCCCGTTTTGTCACATTCTCTTGGTTTTGAAACTAATCTCGGAGTTCTTTGTATCTTTTGGGGGAAGACACCTGGAGCCCAGAGCTCAGAGGGGGGGGGATGTATTTTTGCACAACTATTATATGAAATGGGTACAAATGTCCAAATGTACTCAGCAGGGGAGACGTTTACTGCAGCTGGTTCAATTCCGCAGTTTATGATCTCATCTCTTCCAGCAATGCCTGTACATTAGTCCAAATTGAGCTCTAATTGGCAGGAGAACCTCTGCTTCTTAATGGCAGCGAACAAGGGTTTTTGGCAGACGAAGGGCTTTTACACTCAGCGCCTCCCTGCCTCTCGCAATCCATGCCGGAGCCGGAGCCTGGTACCGAGACAAACTGGGAGTGAAGCCCATTCCCCCCGTCCCTGGGGGCAACTTGCAAGGAGAATTACCCTCAATCATCCTTGTTTTTCCTTTGCCAACGATCTCCCGCTGCCTCCATTAAGGCAGAGCGGAACCGGAAGCTAGCAGGGGAGACTTTGACAAGCCCCATCTGTACTTAGAGATGCACTTACAGTTTCCCACTTACCTTTGTCTCTCCCAGGTGACGGAATGATGCCACCAAGACCTGCTCCTTCATCTTTTCATGGTGGTGGAGGGGAGGCAGCAGCTGTGGACCCAGATCAGGTAGGGGGAAGGAGCGCTGGGATGCAGACTGGCTGGATGCAGAGGAATGGTGGGAGGAGCCAGAGAAGAGGGAGCCGACTGGGAGGAGGAGGAGGAGGTGTCTGAAGCTGGAGAGGGAAGAGGGCTCAGGGAGCAGAGGGAGTCTGTGGCAGAGAGCAGCCCAGACTCCGAGGCAGAAGCTGCAGCAGGAGAGAGGAGGGATGAGGAAGGCAGAGAGGGGTCTGGCCGCTGTAGAAAACAACAGAGCCAAGTGAATGTTCTCTAAGAGGACAGCCTTTTTCCTGTTCTGTTAGGGTCCAGTGTGCTTTGAAGATGTAGCTGTCCATTTCACAGACGAGGAGTGGGCGTTGCTGGATCCTGACCAGAGAGCTCTCCATAAGGAAGTCATGGAGGAGAATCGTGGGATCTTGGACTCTCTCGGTAAGGCTCCCTATTGGATCATCCTATCTGTTTTGTAATTCAAGACATCTCTCTATGTGACGAACCTCTGATATTTCGATGGGGCTCAACAGCGCCACCCACAGCACCTGGGATGTTAACACTCCCACAGCAAACCTTGGATGGATGGCTATTGATTGTTTTCCCTGTGAATATTGTTCCTCCAGTTCTGCCGTTTAAAACCATGATCAGGCTGTCTGAACTGCCCAGGCCTTCTTAAATGTAGGATTCAGAGTGATTTGAGGTGTTGAAGTAGCTTCAGTCACGTTTCCTGCTTTTGTTCTTGCTTCTGTCTCTCTCTGGATGACCAAAGAGTCGCTTGACATTGGAGATGGCACAGATTCCACGACTGAACCAAACAAACTCCATCCCAAAACAGAGCCAGGCTTTTTGAATCTCAGGCAGTGAACCCTGTAGTAACAATAACGATAATATTATTATTTTTACCCTGCCCATCTAACTGGGTGGCCCCAGCCACTCTGGGCAACTTCCAACAAATAGAAAAACATAATAAAACATCAAACATTAAAAACTTCCCAATACAGAGGTGCCTTCAGAAGTCCTCTAAAAGTTGCATAGTTATTTCCTTGACATCTGATGGGGGGGGGCGTTCCACAGGGTGGGTGCCCCTACCGAGAAGGCCCCCTGCCTCGTCCCCTGTAACTTCTCACAAAAATGTAACATTTAAGTACAGTGGTACTTTGGGTTAAGAACTTAATTCGTTCTGTAGGTCCGTTCTTGACCTGAAACTGTTCTTAACCCAAAGCACCACTTTAGCTAATGGGGCTCCTACTGCCGCTGCGCTGCCAGAGCACAATTTCTCTTCTCATCCTGAAGCAAAGTTCTTAACCTGAGGTGCTATTTCTAGGTTAGCGGAGTCTGTAACCTGAAGCGTATGTAACCTGAGATACCAGTGTAAGGAAACTTGAATAATAATAATAATAATAATAATAATAATAATAATAATAATACTGATATGACAAGTTTCTGCTGCATTCTGTGATGTCGAGAATTTAAGAAAACATCCAAATTGGTTTAAGGTGATGCACATCATCATTAAATTTTTAGCCACTAAAGAAATTTAAATTTGGCAGCTGATACATACATTTGTTCAATATACAAAATGTGTTTTTCAGCACACAGAAGTTCATTCCCCTACCACAAGGTAGCTGACTATGACCAAGTCAGTCCAGAGTCAATGTTCCCAAATATTTCTCAAGCCCTTACAATTTGTTTAGATTTATTACTGCATATTGAACAATGTAGCATATTAAATACAGTTGTACCTCGGGTTAAGAACTTAATTCGTTCCGGAGGTCCTTTCTTAACCTGAAACTGTTTTTAACCTGAAGCACCACTTTAGCTAATGGGGTCTCCTGCTGTTGCTGCCGCGCCGCCGGAGCATGATTTCTGTTCTTATCCTGAAGCAAAGTTCTTAAACTGAAGCATTATTTCTGGGTTAGCAGAGTCTGTAACCTAAGCGTATGTAACCTGAACCGTAGGTAACCCGAGGTACCACTCTATATCTTAATTTTGAACAGGGAACTTTCCCGCTTTGGCCACCGTTAAAATAATAATGAAAGCACATTTTATTTATGAAGATAGTACAGATCCATATTTAAGTTTGAACAAAATGACGTTACCAGGTTAAGCTGTATGTAATGGGAATTGGGGTTGCTTGTGTGTAAACCACCAACTGCTCCAAGCTGCTTGGGGTGGTTGCACCTTTCCCTGGCTGAGCAGCCCTTAGGCGCGGCTACTTCAGTTGCTGGCAGAATCCGTCAGTGGGCGTTTTCTAAACTTCTTCCAACATAAAAATTCCTTGACGCCCAGTCTCCGCCTAGATTCTCTGCGCGGAAGCCTTCTGCGCAGTGTGGGCGTGCCAAGCGGGGGTCCGGTGCTCTCCCCGCTGATCTCACTTGAAGAGTCTCGGAGCCCTCCCTCCGAAGTGCTCTCAGCCTCCCCTTTCTTCCTGGTGTCTCCTTGATTGCCTTCCCCAGCGGAAGCTCTCTCTCTCTCCTTGCTAGTCCCCTCCCCTGCATCATTGGGGCGACCTCCCTCTCCTCTGGTCTCTGATGGCAGTTCCCTGACATCCACCTCCCTCCCAGGGCCCCCCTCCCCTCCCGTCCGTTCCTGGGACGGTGAAGTGGGGAACCCCCTGAAGGAACTATTCTCCTCCTCAGATGATTCCAACACTGCTCTCCACCTGCTGTTGTCTCTTTCCGCTTCCCACTCTTCCCAGTCGGATTCCTCCCCTTCGGATCTTCCCCCTTCCTCCTCTTCGGAGGCGGGAAATCCCATAAACTCTTCCTCATCCTCCGTGTTGCCAAATTGCTGCTCCCAGAACCTCCCTAACGGCTTGGGCTTCCTTGGGAACCTGCGATGGAACTCCTCCTCCAGATACTCATCCCGGATCTCTCCCGCTGGAACCCAAGTGTTCTCTGATTCGGGCTCCCCCTCCCAAGCCACCAGATATTCCACCTGTCTCCCTCTCCACCTGGAATCAAGAATTTCAGCTGCATGACTACTGAGTTCCCTTTCCTCCACCCGTGGATGCATGGGTGTTTCTCTTCCTTGTCCCAGAAATTCCCTCCCTTCCCTATACGTTGAGAGTAGGGATCTGTGAAACACCGGGTGCAGTTTAATGTTGCTGGGCAATTTGAGTCTGAAAGCCACCGGGTTCACTTGTTGTGTTACCTCGAAAGGTCCCAATCGTCTTGGCCATAATTTCTTACAACCCCCTTTGAACGGTAACCCTTGGGTAGACAACCACACCTGATCCCCCACTCTTATAGTTTCCCCTTCTCTGCGGTGCTTGTCTGCCTGCCTCTTATACGCTTCCTTCGCCCTCTCCAGGTTAACCTTAAGTTGTTGGTGTAACGCTTCCATTTCTTCCACAAATTGTTCGGCCGCTGGCACACTCCCCCTTCCCTCCCCCTCCCCCGGGAAAGCCCTGGAGTGACACTCATGATTGGCCATGAAGGGACTCATCCCCGTGGACACATGTTCCACGTTATTGTATGCAAATTCAGCCAGCGCTAGTTTTTCCACCCAATCGTTCTCCCTTTCGTTGACGTAGCAGCGTAGGTACTGTTGAAGTATGCTGTTAGCTCTTTCTGCTTGTCCGTTGGTCTCTGGGTATCTGGCCGTCGAGAAGCTCACCTCCACGTCTAACAGGCTCATGAGCCTCCTCCAGAATCTGGAAGTAAATTGCCGGCCTCTGTCGGACAAAATCCTCAAGGGGGCGCCATGCAACCTGAAGACGTGATCTACAAACAGCCTCGCTGTTTCTTCTGCTGTTACTGCATGCGAGCACGCAATAAAATGGCACATTTTGGTCATCAAGTCAACTACCACCATGACGGCTGTTTTCCCCCTGGACTTGGGTAAATCGGTCATAAAATCGATTGATACCACTTCCCATGGTCTTTCTGGTGTGGGTAAGGGTTCCAGTAACCCCGCGGGTGCTGCCCTCTCCCCTTTAGCGCACTGGCAGCGCTCGCACCCCCGTACATACTCCCTCACATCTTCCCTTACCCTCGGCCACCAGAACTGCCTGGTGACCAGCAACATGGTCTTGTGCTGGCCAAAATGTCCCGCCGTGGGGTTGTCATGAAGCTGTTTAAGTATTTTTCCCCGCAAGTCCTCTTCTGGTATGTACAACGCTCCCTTATAGTACAAAACCCCCTCCTTGACCTCAAAACCTCCCTGATTTTCTTCTGTGTCTCGGATCTCCCTGATTTTGGTTTGGGCGTACTGGTCGTCCCTCGTCCGCCCGGCCAGCTCTTGTCTCCCTACCAACACTCCCCCACACACCCATTGGTTCTCAGGTATGACATGACGTGCTTCTGGCACTCCCTCTCCTTCCAAGTACTCTGGTTTGCGGGAAAGAGCGTCTGCTCTGACGTTTTCCTTCCCCGGCACGTACCTAATCTCAAAAAAAAACTTGGAAAACTCCTGTGCCCATCGCACCTGTCTTTGATTCAGGACTCGCACCGTCCTCCAATACTCAAGATTCTTATGGTCCGTGCACACCTGGATCTTGTGCTGTGCACCTATTAGAAAATGTCTCCAGCAGCGAAAAGCCTCATGTATAGCCAGCAGTTCCCGATCATACACCATGTAGTTTTGTTCGGACTTGTTCAGCTTCCTCGAGAAAAAGGCGCACGGCTTCCACTCTCCACGATTTCCCAGCTGGAGTAATACGGCCCCCACCGCTCGGTCTGACGCATCTTTCTCCAGCCTCATCGGCTTCTGCAGATCCACGTGTAAGAGTTGCTCTTCCGAAGCGAACTCCCTCTTTAGCTCCTCAAAGGACTGCTGAGCCTCTGCTGTCCATTCAAACTTCTTCTTGCTGCTGAGGCAATCGGTAATGGGAGCTGTCAGGTGGGTGAAGTTCTTGATGAATTTCCTGTAGAAATTTCCAAACCCCAAGAACTTCTGCACGTCCTTCCGGTTCTTGGGCGTCTTCCATTCCAGCACTGCCTACACCTTGCCTGGGTCCATGGCTAAGCCCTTGTCAGACAACCTGTAACCCAGGAACTCTACCTCTTGGGCGTGGAATTGGCATTTCTCTAACTTGACCCACAGCTGGTGCTCCTGCAGTCTCTGCAGCACTTCCCTGACTTCCTTCACATGCTGCTCCTCGTTCTCTGAGTAGATTAGCACGTTGTCCAAGAAAGCTACGCAATTCTTGTAGAGCAGGGACCCCAGCACATGGTGCATAAAACTTTGAAATGTGCTGGAGCCTGATTGGAGTCTGAAGGGCATAACTAGGTACTCAAAGGCTCCCAGAGGGGTGAACATGGTGGTTTTCCATTCATCCCCCTCCCTCATCCTTATCAAATTGTACGCCCCTCGAAGGTTCAACTTGGTAAAAATCTTCCCTTTCCTTACTCTGGCCAAAATGTCATCGATTCTCGGCATGGGGAAGGTCACTGGTTCCGACACCAGGTTCAAGGACCTATAATCTACGACCAATCTGGGCTCTTTGGAGTCTCTCTTGTCCACAAAGAACACCGGACTGCCCCCCACCGCCCTTGATTCTCGTATGAAACCCCTCTTCAGGTTCTTATCAATAAACTTCTGCAACTCTTGCATCTCCCTGTCCGACATGGCATACAGCTTACCCACTGGCAGCTGGGCCCCTGGGAGTAGGTTGATCTGACAGTCAAAAGGCCTGTGGGGGGGTAGCCTGTCCGCCTCCTTCTCACTGAAGACTTCTTCCAGGTCTGCATACTGAGGTGGCACTCTCCCCTTCTCTCCTACCGCCATTCCTGCCACTCTGGCCACTGCCATCCTCTGGGTCTCTCCCCCGTGGCAGTGCTCCATGCAGTAAGCTGACCCAAAGGAGACTGTTCGCTGGTGCCATCCCACCACTGGATCGTGCAGTGCCAGCCAGCTCATACCCAATATGATTGGTGGTCCTGCTAGTGTGGCTACGTGAAAGGCAATTGTCTCTGTGTGTCTGGAGACTTTCATTTTCATGGGAGGGGTCTGGTGGGTCACTTCCCCCCTAGAAGTTCCCTCCCATCTATGGTCGTTACTTGCAAAGGGTGCTCTAGTGCCAATACGTGGAGCTGATGTTCTAGGGCAAATTCCCTGCTAAAAAAGTTGCAAGAGCTCCCTGAATCCAACAATGCCTTCACCTTGATTGGGTGCCCATTGGGGAGTTCTAGCACCACCTCTATGGCGATGGCTGCCTGGGGAGGGTCTGGCTTGGGCACTTTTACTGGGTGCTTGCCTGGCTGCTGTGCCCGCTCTTCGGCAGCTAAGCACTGGCGTTTCCCTGTTCCTTTTCCTCCTCCTGTTCCCCACCAACTGCCCCCACCATTCCTTGCCACGCCTTCCTCTGAGGGCAGATCCTGGCAAAATGTCCCTGCTGTTGGCAGAGAAAACATTTCTTGGCGGTTTTCCCCTCCTTCTTGCGAACCTCGCCAGAGTTTGAAACCCCGCGCGCGCGCCTCCAATCTCCATTGGCTCCTCTGGCGGTTGAGATTGCCTTGGCATCTCAGGAATGCGGTTGTCATGCCAACGCTCGCCTCTCCCTTCCCGCCTTTCCATCGCCCGCGTCTCTTGCCTTACTCCCACCGCAAGCGCCCTCTTGGTCAGCTGGTCCATCGACTCCGGGCGGGGCGAGCGGGAAAGTTCGTCTTTAACCCAAGGGGATAACCCCTCCTCAAATAACATCTGCACCGGTTCCGAACTCAGTTCCCACCCAAGTTTGTGGATCAACATGGCAAAACGTGACCAGTACTCCCTCACTGATTGGTTCCCTTGCTTGCAACCCATCAGTTCCTTGCGCGTCACGCTCAGCTCCACTTCGCTCGAAAACATATGGTCCATGGCGCTAAAAAATTTCCTCAGATCCTTTAACGCGGCATTATCGGACGCCATTAAGGCTCGAACCCATTCCCTGGCCCCGTCCAGAAGGTGCCCTATCACAAAAGCCACTCGAGCCCCGTCATCCACAAAGTCATCATACTGCAGGTCCAGCGCATACTGCATCTCTGTCTTAAATGCGTTATAATCCCTTGGGTTGCCCCCAAACTTCTGCACTAGTCCCGGTACCTTCCTTGCGATGGGGGTGGGCTTCCCCTGGGCATCTTGAGTCCACCTTTCATCCAGCCGCGCCGCCAGAATAGCCAGCTGCTATTCCAAATCTCTGTTTCTCTCCTCCAGAGTAGGTCCCCCTCTGGCTCCCTCCGCAGCGCCTGCTCCTCCGGTATGTCCTGCACACAAGCAACGTAAAAGACTGACGGATTGCTGTAATGGGAATTGGGGTTGCTTGTGTGTAAACCACCAACTGCTCCAAGCTGCTTGGGGTGGTTGCACCTTTCCCTGGCTGAGCAGCCCTTAGGCGCGGCTACTTCAGTCGCTGGCAGAATCCGTCAGTGGGCGTTTTCTAAACTTCTTCCAACATAAAAATTCCTTGACGCCCAGTCTCCGCCTAGATTCTCTGCACGGAAGCCTTCTGCGCAGTGTGGGCGTGCCAAGCGGGGGTCCGGAGCTCTCCCCGCTGATCTCACTTGAAGAGTCTCGGAGCCCTCCCTCCGAAGTGCTCTCAGCCTCCCCTTTCTTCCTGGTGTCTCCTTGATTGCCTTCCCCAGCGGAAGCTCTCTCTCTCTCCTTGCTAGTCCCCTCCCCTGCATCATTGGGGCGACCTCCCTCTCCTCTGGTCTCTGATGGCAGTTCCCTGACACTGTACTTTAAAAAACTAGAGAGAGAAAACATATAATATTCAACTTGATTTGTATACAAAACTAGACATTTTTACAGAACAAAAGGAACATTATAACATCTAACTCCCTTCAGTTCTTCCCCTGTCCCAAGCATTAATGAGCATTGTTCCATAATTTGGGGCTGCACTTCTTCCCGAGACTCTAATCCGTTTGCCTCTTAGTTTCAGGTGGTGATGAATTGGAAATGAAGAACAAGGGAGACCACAACGAAATCCACACAGTGGAGGAGCCATATCCGGATTCAGACTGTGGAGAGGGCTTCAGTCAGAGCTCCCATTCCACTTCCCATCAAGAAATCCCATTGAAAGAAACCCTATCACTACTGTGGAGTGTGAAAGGCTTCCAAGACGACTGAACTCACTGTCCATCAGAAGGAGGTTCATGTACAGGGAGAAACCCTACAGGTGCGTGAATGTGGAAAGAGCGTCCTCTAGCTCCGTCTCGCACCTGCGCGCATCAAAGAGGACATGTCAGTGAGCGAGGGAGAGAGAACCCTACGGTGCTGGGATGTGGAGGGCTCGAGTGCGAGAGCTCTCAACTCACTTCCTCAAAGATTCATACGGGGAGGAAAGCGCGTGAGTCGTGCATAAATGTAGGAAAGAGCTCAGTCAGAGCTCCCGATCTCACTTCGCTCAAAGGATTGTGCGACAGGGGAGGCAACCATTACTGTTGGGAGTGTGGAAAGAGCGTCAGTCAAGCACTCATGGGTTCGTACCATCGTAGAATTGCAGTACCAGGCCGGAAAAAACGCAGTATCTTGTGTGGAAGTGTGGAATTCGGGAGGCGGAGGGGGGGGGAGGGGTGCCCAGGGGCTCACCTTTCCATCAAAGGGAATTCATACAGGGAGAAACCCTATCAAGTGCGTGGAATGTGGAAAGAGCTTCAGTCAGAGCTCCCAACTCACTTCCCATCGAAGGATTCATACAGGGAGAAACCCTATCAGTGCATGAATGTGGAGAAGAGCTTCATTCAGAGGGCCCATCTCACTTCCCATCAAAAGGATTCATACAGGGGAGAAACCCTATCAGTGCTTGGAATGTGGAATGAGCTTCACCAGGAAAGAAATTCTCACTTCCCATCAAAGGATTCATACAGGGAGAACCTATCACTTGCTTGGAGTGTGGAAAGAGCTTCAATCAAAGGGCATTGCTCACTTCCATCAAAGGATTCAATACTGGGGAGAAACCCTATCAGTGTGTGGAATGTGGAAAGAGCTTCATTGACAGACACTATCTCATTACCCACCAGAGAATTCATACAGGGGAGAAACCCCTATCAGTGCGTGGAATGTGGAAAGAGATTCAGAAAATGCTCAGATCTCACTTCCCATCAAAGGATTCATACAGGGAGAAACCTATCAGTGCGTGGAATGCGGAAAGAGCTTTCCGTCAGAGGGCTAAGCTCACTTCCCATCAAAGGATTCATACAGGGGAGAAACCCTTTCAGTGCATGGAATGTGGAAAGAGCTTCACCTGGAAAGAAAGTCTCACTTCCCATCGTAGAATTCATACAGGGGAGAAACCTTATCACTGTGTGGAATGTGGAAAGAGCTTCACTAACAGCCACGATCTCACTTCCCATCGTAGAATTCATACAGGGAAAAACCCTATCAGTGTGTGGAATGTGGAAAGAGCTTCAATCATAGTTCCCATCTCACTTCCCATCAAAGGATTCATACAGGGGAGAAACCCTATCAGTGCCTGGAATGTGGAAAGAGCTTCAGTCAAAGCAACAATCTCATTTCCCATCAGAGAATTCACACAGGGTAGAAACTATTTCAGTGCGAAGAGTGTGATCAGAGGGATTTATGAAAGTCTGGTCTCATTTTTAAATTTGCTTTTAAAAAATAGAATTGGAGCTCTTAAAAGGACTGGCTGAAAAAAGCTAAAATCAAGACAGGTTTGGACAAGTTTGTTTCTCTTTGAAGGAAAATATTTCTTCTACTCTGAGCCACTTAAAGAGAATTGGATTCCTGCAAGACAACCACTCTTGTCTGGACGTCTAAATTGCTAGGTCCTCTTGGACACATTTTTTCTTTTTTTCGGTTCCTCTCTTAAAGTAATTATTTGGTTCATTTGTTTAATTCGAATCTTAATTTGAGAAATTGGATTTTATGTTAAACAGCTTATGTGTGTTGTGATCAGGCTGGAAGGAAGAGGGAGGGCTGGAAAAATGCAGGAAACAGGATCTCTTAGGAAAGAGTTATCTGTGACCTTGACAAACTGATAAGGTGCTGCTGGAAACAGGCTGCTTTTGAGAACAAGGGAGAGGGAGATTTTGAAGATGGCAGTTCAAAAACAGTTAACGCCAGGCCTGTTGTTAAATTTGGAAGAAGCTATTAGCCCGAATTGATTAAAATCATGAAATGGAGACAAATTTGACCACTAAAGTAGAGACACTGACAAAGAAAACAGAAGCACTAGATATCTCCATGAAAGGAAGGGAGGAGAAGTCTGAAAAGGTGGAAGACAAAAAGTGGAAATCAGTACAGGAGACGCTTAGGATTGATGTGGACGGTTTGGGTGGAAGATAAGAGGCAATTGCGGGCGCTTTGGCGTTCTTGAGATGAGACAGAAAGCCCAGCCTCTGAGTCGGCAGAGGAAGCAGGATTTTAGCAAAGGTTTGAGCGGAGTGGCTGGGAGTGGAATTAGACCGGCTTGTGGAGTAAGGGAGCTGCTCTAGCCGGTGCCTAATGCCCCCTGAGAAACCCCCAGTCATCACACCTGTCAAAGCCCAATGGCTCAGTCGACATCTGCGCAGACTACAAATGTATCATAAACAAGGCCCTTATGGCTCATGCATACCCGGTGCCAATGGTCAGCCATGTCCTTGCCACCCTGGCGGGGTCTAAGATTTTTGGCAAGGACTGCCAGCCCAGGGCGCCTGGTTTGGTAGAAAATATTGAATAAATCCCCAGTGCCACCCCCTGGCGGTCCTCCTGTCTCCGTCTCCCTGGCCCCACCCGCTCCCAATCAAAGTCCCCAGAGTGCCCGCTTCAGGGCCCCTCTCCCACGGGCGTGCAAGGCGATGCGGCAGAATTGGTGGGGGCCAGGTGGGTTCAGAGGGTATGGCTTTCTTCTCCTTACACTGGGAAGCTGTTCTACACTAATAGGATAAAGTGTTTGTTTGGAAGACTAAAGCCTTCAACCCCCACCCTGTTTAAGGAAAACCCGCAGAGGAGGGGTAAGGGGAGGGCAGAACTAGGAAGTCTAGAAGTGACGAGGCCGAGCAGGAAACCAGGACCATGACTGAGTGGACAGCAGGTGGTCCAACCGCAACCGACGCGCGGTGTCACAACCGGCAGCCCTGGAACAAAGCCAGAACCAGGAACCTACAGAGAGCACCCAAGACCACAGGCGAGCGTGAGGGCTGACCGGCATATCTCAACGATACGATGCGCTAACCTCCTGCAACGGAAACGTAGACGGGAGGGGGTATTACTAAGCTTGGAGCTTAGAAGAAAAGGGCTAGAGGTTCTTAGAATGCAACGCGAGAGCGTGATTGGCCTGCAGGAAAAGACCAGTCAGGCTACCAGGAGGAAGCAGAATCAGCCAGTCAGAGGACTGATGTGTATGAATCGTATAACAGCCTGAGGTTTGGGGGTGCAAATTAAATCAACTGTTTTGCAAGCTGCAATAAAAGAGATGAATCCAAGAAGAGGACTCTGAGTAGATTTCAGAGAAGGTCTAGAGTGCATCTTTGGTTGGGATTGTCTCAGTCAAGGAGATTGGAGATTGGTTGCCAGTCAAAGGGTAGTTTTAAGACGCGGGGGGGGGAAAGACCTCCTTGTGAAAGGGTGGGGGGCAGTTTTTGGGAGACATTCCAGCCTGCATGTTGGGAGCCAGATAGGAAATCCTGGAAGAGGACACTCCAGGCTCATCTAGTCCAACCCCTGCAATTCAGGAACCCCGGTTCGTGAGTCCGCCGCCTCCTTGAACTGGGCAACTCAGATGCCTGGAGCAGCGCGCGCGGGGCCCGGGTTGGAGAGCAGCCTTGGGTCGCCTTAGGAAAAGCTGGCCGACCTTTTGGACGGCTGTTTCGATCCGCGGTGGCCGTTCTGCTGGCAGGCCCGGTTGGGCGAGTTGTAGTGTCAAAGGCCCGCATTAGAGGTTTCTGCTGGTCCTGGCAGGTAAGTTGGAACTATGTTTTGACCCTTGCCAAAAGGAGATGCCACAAAGTGTGTGTCGGAGGGTGTCTTTTCAGTGCCAGGATACAAGGTGCTCTCTTGACCTGGGAGCCCAATCCCTCTCCCCCACCCCTAGAAAAGGGGGTCTTCCCCTCATCCTCTCCTTGCAGAACCCCCTTTTCCTTCCTCTTTGCCAGAGAGTCGGAACCAACTCTCTCTCAAGGGACCCTGGAGCCAAACACTTGAAGAGTTTTACTTCTCTGGGCCCCTGACCAACCACATGGCTGGATGGTCATTCCACCATTCCAGAGGTGAGACCCTCCATCCCAACCAGGGAGGGTGTTGCTTTACTTGCCAACAAGCAGGACACACACGCCTCTTTGTTGGCATCAGGCTGCAATAAGCTCAGGGGAGTGGCAGTTTGGGCACCTAGGAGAATATCCTACACCCGCCCTAACTGTGGTTTAGCGGACGGACTAAGAGCCCTGGAGTGGGGAGACCATGGGCCCATTTGACCCATGGCTAGGAGCTTTGGAGGGAGGTGTGAAGATGGGGAGTGAGAGGAGCTGGTTCTGGGTGGAAAACATCCACTCTGAAGAAAAGATCACCAGCTAGAGAAAGGAGTCTCTTTCTCTTTCATTATGAAAAATGTTGGTTGGAAGTGAAAAAGGACTTAGAAATTTGGTCAAATCTGAAGCTTTCCTTGTTGGGCCAAATTGCAGCTTATAAAGATGAATGTATGCCTAGAATGTTGTTTTTGTTTCAAACACTGCAAATTGTGGACAAGATGGACTGTTTCAAGAAGTGGCAGAAAGATATTTCTAAATTTGTCTGGCAGGGCAAGAAGCCCAGGATAAAATTTAAGATATTAACTGATGCAAAAGAAAGGGTGGATTTGCCCTGCCAGATTTTAAACTTTATTATGAATCAGCAGCGTTTGCTGGCTGAAAGACTGGCTGCTTCTTGAGAACACAGACATTTTGGATTTAGAAGGTTTAATAACGTTTTGGGTGGCATGCATATTTGTGGTATGACAAGGTTAAAGCACATAAAGCATTTAAAAATCATATTGTTAGGAAATCTTTGTTCAATGTTTGGATCAGATACAAGGATTTATTGGAAAATAAAACTCCCAAGGTGGTTGTCGCCAATGGAAGCGAAAGCCCAGAAAAAGCTCAATATGGAGGCCAATTGGCCGAAATATTGGGAAATTTTGGAACAAGAAGGAG